AGTAGTGGTAGTGGCTGCTGGTTTGAAGAGTCACTATTATCTGCAGATGACAGTCACAAATGCTCCTGCAGCTCTAAGGGTCCTATAGCAAATGTATATCCCCACGAAGATTGATTTGTGTTGTTTGGAGTCCACAGTGCTACAGTTCAACTATCTTCACAGTTGAATGTGCTTTTATAAGCTGGCATGGAGGCCTAAGCATTTCTTAGATTTCTGTTTCCAAACTTCCAGGGCAAGGTCTGTATCTGTGTGTGCCATTCTCTTAATACTAGGCAAATATTTAGTGAAAGGTTTGGTGGGCTTTGAGGCACACATAAGCTCACAAAGTGCTTTTATGGAATGTTGATATAATTTTTAAAACTTTGTCAAAGTCAAATTCACATGACAACCATTTTAAAGTACAATTCAGTGGTACCTAGTAAACTGACAATGTTATGCAACCACCACCTCAAACTAGTTCTAAAATATGTTTGTAACCCCCAGATGTACTCTATAACAAATGCAGATACAATTGATTTTTAAAGGGGCTCACTCTGCAAGTCTTGAGGATTATGGCAGGCTTTTTCCAACAAGAAGGCTGTGAAGGGGATTACTTCTAGGATGATAGCAGCGAGGGCATGAACCATCTCCAAGGGAAGAAGTCTGTAGAGTTCCAGGAGAGGTTAGTGAGTACAGGGCTGCAGGTTTTTTCTCTTCTGAGTTAAAAAACACTAAACCTTTGTCATCAATCCTATTGTTTATCTGACATAATTGTTCAGCATTACACAGAATAAAGGTAAAAGGGGTTCTGATTGTGAAACCTAGGGTAGAAACATAACCCAGAACCAGACATGCACAAACAAGCCTTGTGGACTTGGGGCAGCATGGCAAAAACCTGTAAAACCAGAGTTGGAATCCAGGTTCAACATCTTTGCTGAACTGGAGCCTATTTTTAACCTTTAAGCAATTTTAGTTAAGCCAGTACTTTTAGATGTCCCCAGATATTCACCTGTGAAAGTCAAACACTACCTAAATCAGTGTGGTGGAATGAGAATTAACACAGTGCCTGGCGTATAACAGCACTAAAACACTGGAGTCCTGCGGGGACACCAAACTCTCAATGATGCCTCCCTAAGGTACTCACTAGGACATTTAAAATGTAGTTAACAACTGCTAGAAATGTGGCACTTCTATCTCAGCATCCTTTCATAAATTCTAAACTGAGGCATCAGCCAAACCATTTCATTTTAAAATGAAATGAGAAGTAGGGATCACAGTGGCTAATGCACTTGCGCGTAACTCAGCAGCGAGCCTGTGCTTAAATTCACATCTCACTATTTTAGGCCCCACCTTCTCTATCATATTGAATTCAGATTAAATTTCAGGGCTTTGATAAATGAAGGGCACTTACAGAATGCGTAGCTATGACCTTCCCATCTGCCTCTTCCTTGCCTGCTTCTCCCAGAACATACCCACCCCCAAGTCCCTTTTGAGGCTACTCTTCAAGGGTCGGCCCTCTCACCAACCTTAAGGTCACCAGGCCAGTAGCGCTTACTTTTTTTGTACTCACAGACCCAACCTACTGTAAATAAGCAGGATTTTTCTTTTTAATCTCCTAAGGATACCACTTGGCTAAAAGAAAGGGATCACAATGCTAATGATAACCTCACCTAAGAGACAAATTACCATTCAATTTTAAATGCTGTTAAGACAAACCGCAGACTCTTCGGACCTCAAAATAAAACTCAGAGGCAAACACCACTAGACTTCTTTTGAGTTTATTTACTTTGAAGTAAAGAGTTGGGAAAAAAGGCCCAAGTTTAGTATGAGCATTACAGGAAAAGGAAATGGACAAAAGGTGGCAGTATAAAATCATCTCTATACTTAACATTGGAAAAAAAGGCAGTTCCTAACTATACCAAAAGAGACACAAAGCTAAACTTTACAAACAGCTTGCAAAATTGAGAGCCGATGAAAGGCAAATATATGGCAATGCAAAGTCTCAAATCCCATCTGTTTTCATAACAAACGTGACCAGGTCTGGAAAAGCCTCCTCCTAATCCACCTCCTCAATGGTCGGGCCAGACCCAGAGCCCCCCTTGGGGGCCTGGGCCCCAAAACCACCGGCCCCGGGGCCACCCGCCCCCTGGTACAGTCCGCTGATGATGGGGTTACACACCTGCTCCAACTCTTTCCTCTTGTGCTCAAACTCCTCCTTCTCCGCCAGGGTGTTGGCGTCCAGCCAGGACATCACCTGGCACTTGTCGAGCACCTTCTTCTTGTCCGACTCGCTGATCTTGCCTTTGAGCCCCTCATCCTCTACAGCGCTCTTCATGTTGAAGGCGTACGACTCCAAAGCGTTCTTGGCAGACACCCTCTCGCGCTGGACCTCGTCCTCGGCTTTGTACTTCTCCGCCTCCTGCACCATGCGCTCGATCTCCTCCTTGCTCAGGCGGCCCTTGTCATTGGTGATGGTGATCTTGTTGGCCTTGCCGGTGCTCTTGTCCGTGGCCGTGACGTTCAGGATGCCATTGGCGTCGATATCAAAGGTCACCTCGATCTGGGGCACGCCCCTGGGGGCAGGTGGGATGCCACTCAGCTCGAAGCGCCCCAGCAGGTTGTTGTCCCTTGTCATGGCCCTCTCGCCCTCGTACACCTGGATCAGCACCCCGGGCTGGTTGTCCGAGTAGGTGGTGAAGATCTGCGTCTGCTTGGTGGGGATGGTGGAGTTGCGCTTGATCAGGGCAGTCATCACGCCCCCGGCAGTCTCCAGCCCCAGCGACAGAGGAGCCACGTCCAGCAGCAGCAGGTCCTGCACATTCTCGGACTTGTCCCCCATCAGGATGGCTGCCTGCACCGCCGCCCCGTAAGCCACCGCCTCATCCGGGTTGATGCTCTTGTTGAGGTCGCGCCCGTTGAAAAAGTCCTGCAGCAGCTTCTGCACCTTGGGGATGCGGGTGGAGCCCCCCACCAGGACCAGGTCGTGGATCTGGGCCTTGTCCAGCTTGGCGTCACGCAGAGCCTTCTCCACTGGCTCCAGGGTGCCCCGAAACAGGTCGGAGCACAGCTCCTCGAAACGCGCCCTGGTGATGGACGTGTAGAAGTCGATGCCCTCGAACAGGGAGTCGATCTCCAGGCTGGCCTGCGTGCTGGACGACAGGGTCCTCTTGGCCCTCTCGCAGGCGGTGCGCAGCCGCCTCACGGCTCGCTTGTTCTGGCTGATGTCCTTCTTGTGCTTCCTCTTGAACTCCTCCACGAAGTGGTTCACCAGCCTGTTGTCAAAGTCTTCCCCTCCCAGGTGGGTGTCCCCGGCCGTGGCCTTCACCTCGAAGATGCCGTCGTCGATCGTCAGGATGGACACGTCGAAGGTGCCCCCGCCCAGGTCGAAGATGAGCACGTTGCGCTCCCCCTTGCCGGTCCTGTCTAGGCCGTAGGCGATGGCGGCGGCCGTGGGCTCGTTGATGATCCTCAGCACGTTCAGCCCCGCGATCACCCCTGCATCCTTGGTGGCCTGGCGCTGCGAGTCGTTGAAGTAGGCGGGCACGGTGATCACCGCGTTGGTCACCGGGTAGCCCAGGTACGCCTCGGCGATCTCCTTCATCTTGGTCAGCACCATGGACGAGATCTCCTCGGGGTAGAACGCCTTGGTCTCCCCCTTGTAGCTCACCTGCACCTTGGGCTTGTCCCCGTCGCTGATCACCTGGAAAGGCCAGTGCTTCATGTCCGACTGCACCACCGGGTCGCCGAACTTGCGGCCGATCAGCCGCTTGGCGTCGAACACGGTGTTCTGCGGGTTCAGCGCCACCTGGTTCTTGGCGGCGTCCCCGATGAGCCGCTCGGTGTCGGTGAACGCCACGTAGCTGGGGGTGGTGCGGTTGCCCTGGTCGTTGGCGATGATCTCCACCTTGCCGTGCTGGAACACCCCCACGCACGAGTAGGTGGTGCCCAGGTCGATGCCGATGGCTGTGGTTTTAGCCATGCCGGTGCCCTGCTCTCTCGCTCCGCGCTGAGGTTCGGGCCTGAAAACCGCGGCCGGGATCCGCGAACAGAAGCTCGGTCCTTTCCGAAGCCGGGAACTGAAGGCCGGTGCCACAGGGGTTCGTCCTCGGAGGCAGTGGGTCCGTGGAAGCGCGCTCACGAACACCAGACAGCAGTTCGACAACTCGCTTGTCTCTGCAGGTTCGCTGTTTTCCCCACGGCGAGCGGCTCTGCATTTATAATTCTTCATCGAGCCTCCCCCTGTTCCCAGCTCACCCAATCACCAGGCTCGGAGGCGCTGCCTGGTCGGGAACATTCCAGGGGATTCGCCTTGCGTCCTGCCCCCAGTCTTTGCCAGACCAATCAGCGTCCTGGGTGCCGCCCCACCAGAACTCTCCAGACTTTTCTGGGGCTTGCTAGGCGGTGGAGAGGAGGCGGGAGATGGGGGTGTGAGCGGCAGGAGGGTGAGGAGGACCTGGCTGGGCTGGTGAGTGACGCTATGAAAGGACGAGGGCGGGGCTGTTGCCGCTGCTCAACTCAGTCGCGTTACAATGAAAATACCGCCTCTGACCTCACGGCTAGTATGGATCAGGATGAAAGGACAGGAGCCAGC